AAATTAATTCTTCAACAGGTAAGACTAGTGCTTGACAACCATGTCTAAAATCCAGAACTTCTGAGTGTGTGTCCAGTTACTGAACTTTGTTCAATGCTTGTACCAGCATCACACACTGTTCCAGCAACACCATGGGATTACAACTGTGACATTTCTGGTGTCTTTTTGTGGCTCTTGGTAGTAGCTTTGTGTTTCTCACAGATTTTACCCTTGTAGCGCCAACCGTTTATGCACAGAATGGATGTAAGAGAGGTGGCCAAAGATAAGATGAACGCTTGTCAGGCCAAGTGGCAATAAATTTGCATTTACCCATGACACGAAAAAGATAGCTAACTAGTAGAGGTATTTTAGCATCAAGCTACCAGCAGCCTAATTTGCTCAAGACATAGAATGCAATGAATATCTATGTGCACTACCCAAACTTTTGGCACTCAGAAAAGCCCAGTAAAATGAAATAAAGGAACTATATTGAATATGCAAAATTAAATAAATAGACCTGTCAATAAGTTAATTAATTTTCTATTTTAATTAATAATAAAAAAACATTTAAGGCCTTAATTTTAGATACATGAATTTAAGGATTTTTAAGAACACACACTGATGTATGGAGAGTGTCATACTATCAATCAGGAAATCGCTTCAGCTGTGATAAGCACCATTGGAGATATGAGTTGTAAGAATGTGTGTACAAGTCAGAATATATGTATTGTGAAGTGGGACATGATTTGCGAATACCACACCTTAGTTCAAATTTAAGGATGGAGTCATTTCTCATTTTCATACAACTATTACCAGTTTTAACAGCTTTATAAATAAATTCTCCAAAGCCAAAGAATGGAAAGTATGTTGCTGTTCGATTGTGTCAAATTCCTTATAGAAATCCAGGAACACAATACAACTATCATCTGGCACCAAGTAGGAGTAAGGAGTTTACTTACCTCTACATTGAAATCTTTGCATAAAGTCTGTGTGCAGATGTACACCAGTGAATTATAATCTGTCAAACGAACAACGGGCATAAAATTTCCCTGTTGTCAAATACAGAAAATAATCCGTTAATGCGACCTCTGGTATGTATATAAAACACATTCACAACAGCAACAAGATGGAAATAAAAAACAGTTATTAATATATCCAGTATGTTTACAACACACATCATAGGTTTCACACTGTTGTGACAAAACTGCAGCTCCGACAAAAAGCTGACCACAGCTTCACAGTTTCTCTCTTCTTTATTGCTGTCCATTCTTCAAAAAGAAGAACTGCTGACCTGCTAAATCAACGTGATTTGTCAAGCAGAACTGATCTAAAACTAAAACTGATCTTGGTGGACGTTTAAGAAACTCAAGGCCCTTTTTGCCAGTTCTCATCCAACCGGAACCCTCAAAGCAATTTATTGTGGAGGTTGGTGCTTCTGATACTGGGGTGGGGGCAGTACTGTCTCAAGTCTCATCTTGTAACAATAAGACTCACCCATGTGCCTTTTTCTCCCATAGACTGTCACCCCTGGAGTGCAACTATGATGTGGGGGATCGAGAGTTACTGGCCATAAAGCTAGCCCTGGAGGAGTGGCGGCATTGGTTGGAGGGTGCGGAACATCCAGTGCTGGTCTGGACCGATCACAAGAACTTATCATATCTTCAATCAGCCAAGAGACTCAATCCCTGTCAGTCCTGTTGGTCACTTTTATTCTCCAGATTCTACTGGGTCATCTCCTTTCGTCCCGGTTCTCGCAATATCAAGCCAGATGCCTTGTCCCGTGTTTACTCGCCAGATGACGCAGAAAAGGTTCCTGCCACTATTCTTCCCCCCAGCTGTGCAGTAGTCGCAGTTACCTGGGAGATTGAAGATTTAATTAAACACGCCCAACAATCTGAACCAACCGCCGACTCCTGTCCACCTAATAGGATCTATCAGAGCCCAGTTTAACATTCGATTCATTCTTCCAAATTCTATGCACATCCTGGCATAAGTGGAATTATTGCCCTCATTAACCATAGGTTCTGGTGGCCGCCCATACATAGGGGCATTAAGGAGTACATTTTAGCCTGTTCCATTTGGACTAGAAATAAGCCATCCCCGTCGGGCCTCCTCCAAACTCTACACATTCCCAGCCGTCGTTGGTCCCGCATCTCTTTGGATTTCATCACTGGTCTACCCCATCTAGAGGTATGACAACAATACTCACCGTCATCGACCGTTTTTCGAAGGCCTGCCATCTAGTTCAACTCTGAAAGCTACCAACTGCATTTCAGACCGCCCAGCTGCTAGTTAAACATGTTTTCTGTTTACATGGAATTCCACAGGAGAGCCTATTCGACCGTGGACCCAAGTTCGTCTCCCAGGTTTGGAGGAAATTTTGTTCTGCTCTTGACGCTAAGATTTTGCTAACTTCAGGTTTCCACCCACAGACGAATGGCCAGACTGAACAGATGAATCAGCATTTAGAGTCGTATGTACAGTGTTGTATAAAGTACTGAAATCTCAGAGTGAAGTGAAAGTACAGGTACCTCTCCAAAATATGACTTTGGTAAAAGTCCAAGTCACTGAAATGTTACTTGAGTTAAAGTCTTAAAGTATCTGAAATGTCTTGTACTTAAGTATGGAAGTTACTGTAAAAATGGATGTACTCAAGTAATGTAATGAAAAGTACAAGTAAAAAGTAAAACAAGGCAAATGCAGTTTGAATGACATTTTTTATATTTTGGTAAACTTGTCAAATACACTTAAAATAATGTACACAACCAAGTGCAGGCAAAATGAAACCTGCTAATAGATAAACCTGCAGCATCATTTAGTTAAGAACATTAGGTGCTTTACCTAAACCACAAGATTAACTTAACCTGCTTTACAACTGAACCAGCTTCTTAGTAAACCCTCCAGGACAGAAAATACAGTTTTTGTAAGCCTTAAGTTTTCCCTTTCAGTAAGGTCAGTGCTGAAAATGAGAAAAATAAATAGTCAGTACAGAAAATGCGGAAAACATGAAGAAAAAAAGCCGTTACGATTAATCTACTTCACAAACTAAACACAACTGGTCATTATGCAAAAGAAAAAAAGAATTGGGAGGGAAATGCAGCTTATTTGACATCTGAAGAGGGAGAGCTTTTTTGGGGGATTCTCTTATGACTTGGGCGACCCACAAAAAAAAATTCACTTCAGTGAATGCCACTTTGGTGCAAAATATATACAAAAGACCTTGGATCCATGGCATGTTAAAATCAACACAGCAGTACTTTCACTCAGCGTGTATCACCTCCAGTGTGAGTTCTCCAGAGTCTAGCTGCAGACTGCCTCCCTGTTGAACAGAGTTCTGCTTTTAAAGCCACAGGCTCCACCCACAGAACGCCACAGGCTCCACCCACAGAACGCCACAGGCTCCACCCACAGAAAGCCACAGGCTCCACCCACAGAACGACACAGGCTCCACCCGCAGAACGCCACAGGCTCCACCCACAGAACGCCACAGGCTCCACCCACAGAACGACACAGGCTCCACCCGCAGAACGCCACAGGCTCCACCCACAGAACGCCACAGGCTCCACCCACAGAACGCCACAGGCTCCACCCACAGAAAGCCACAGGCTCCACCCACAGAAAGCCACAGGCTCCACCCACAGAAAGCCACAGGCTCCACCCACAGAAAGTCAAATCAAGAAAACAAAACAAAAACTAAGCAATTACTCCTAACTCAAATCAATTCTTAAAGTATACAAAATAATTAATAATAATAAAAAAAAAATAAACTTGTAATCCAAAAAATACAATCATCAATTTAACAGCCAACACTCAGTACATTCTGATGATGTCACCACATCACACAACTCTCTCCCTGTGCGTCACAATCCGGAAACAAGCCAATTGAAAATGAAGCCGGGAAAATGTTTGAAAATAACAGATAAGGATTAATGTTAACTGAAGCGGGAACACCGCGTGTGACCCACGATGAACCGCGCCAGTCCAAGCTGCAACAAAACATAAGTTAGTGATTGTGTGTGTGTGTGTGTGTGTGTTAACTCTTTAATTAGGTCCTAACTCGTGACGGCTCCTCCGTCACAGTAACCAGTAACTAAACCACACATTGAAAATGGATCGGAGTAAAAATATGCAATTAAGTTCGGAAATATTGTGAAGTAAAAGTGAAAGTTATCAAAAATGTTCATACTCGAGGAAAGTATGAAGTAGTCCAAAATATACTTAAGTAAAGTAGTGAAGTATTTTTACTTCATTACTTCACAACACTGTATATGTATATATGTGTATACATTTTAGGACATGCGGTAAGATACTGGTAGCTGTGGTTGCCAGGATTTTATCGTATTTTACTAAAAACAGTAAAACGCTGGCAACCACAGCGACATTCTGTGGTTGCCAGAATGTTGCTGTGCTTCAATGAATGTTACAATTCTAGCAGTTTTGGTTATGGCAACCGCAGTTGCCAGTATTTTACCGTAAATTAGAGCCTTTTTTTTTTTTTTTTTTTACAGTGTACCCTTAGAGTTAGTTGAGCCGTGCCGGATCAGCGAATGGAAAATAAATCAGGCTGGAGTGAGCCAGGACCGAACTGGTCAAAGAGGGCTAATGGAAAAACACCTTAGAAAGCCTATGGATTACTTAACAGTGACCATAACTTGGTTATTCCACAGACGACTATATTAGGACCTTCAGAAGATTTATCCTTAGCCGTTACAATCGATTTCAGCCAGGAAACAGTTTGAAATGCCTTGTCTAAACTAATTTGAGTATAAAAAATACAACAATATATTTGAAACACGCTTCAAATATATTTCTGTTTTTGAAATTCACAGCAGAGCCCCCAAAAAAGAGTGCTTATATGCTGCTGACGTCAAAGGTTAATTTATTCTGAGGTTCTTTCGTTCATCACTACATGTGCTATATCTCCCTATTCATGTTGGGAAACCTGGAGTCTTCAGGGAGTTGTAGTACTAAGAGGCTGCATGAACACAACAAACCTGGAAAGCTGTCTTTAATCTACTCACCAGCTGGAACTCAGAGCGGCGTGTGTATGCCTCCTGTATGCCAGCATCCATCCAGAGTGCGCTCAGTGCCATCACGTAGAGTTGGAACTCACTCGGCTCCACCCCCGAGGCACCCACACGCCCCTCCCATGACATCACCAGCATGCCCTGCTTCTCATTCTCACAGCTCTGCCAGGTAATTCCCAGTTTGTCTCGGGCATCCACCAGCACTCGCATACCCTACAGACAATGAAACATTACCAAAATTCAGAATGGCAAAGGATCAGCTATCAGATATTACAAAGAGTCTAACAAATTTCTCCATTGATTGTCACAAGCTGAGAGTACGTACAAGGTCTGACAATGTTTTTGGTATGCAAAATTGTTTTATTAGCATCTTGATTTTGGGAAACAAGAAGATGTTTATCATCTAAACAATTAACTGACCTTTCAGTAAGGAAGAGGTTGCATCCTGTCTACCCTGTGGTTACATGACTATGCATTAAAACTGTTCAACTGGAACTGGCTCTGGCCAGGGAGTGACCACATTGTGTAGAGAGTCCTATATATTGTGAGAGCTTACAGCTCCAAGTCAGAACTCATTGTAGGTACTGCTGTTGTGCTGTGGCTGCTGTGTTTTCTCCATTTGCAAACGATGAAATAAAAGATTTTGCTCTTTGCCATTTGTCAGAGTCTCAGGCCTGATCTGTTACCACACAGATAAAAAACTCTGTCCAAAGTACACAGAAATTTCTCGGGTGTGAAACAATAAAGGAAACTTCTTTTCTATTCTTCTATTCTATTCTATTGTCTGACGTTACCAACATAGATTTCAGTGGATCTAGTCTAAGCTGCGCGCCTGCACAATCGCGCACTGCTCGCAAATTCTCAACGCACAAGAAAATATATGTAGCGCATAAAATAAAGTCCAAGGTAAACTGGACATTGAGCTCAGACATCAGCTTTGACTATGGACCAATAACATTTTTTTTGTACAACTTTGCAATGGAACTCAGTGAGTGACAGGAATCCAGCCAATGATACGGTACGGTTCACTTTGGCTACGCAGCCAATCATCACATGCTATATGTGCTGTGGCACCATGCAGGTGAGAATAGTGCGGCGGAGTTAAGAGACGTGAAAGCATTTATCATGTCTAAGTGGGACATCCACTCATCAAGCCACATAGATATTGGCACACGGTATGTTTATTTTGTGAATGAGGATATTTCTAATATTGATCAGTTGTAATTGTGAATTTGCTTTACTATAATCAAGTACAGTCTAATTTTTTGAATCAATTGATATTGTTAGTCATAAATGTTATTTTCAGTTTTCAAACGTTACGGTTGTTTTGTAGCTTACTGTCTTTTTGTGTTTGTACATACAGCTTTTATGGTGGAACTCAGGGTTCCACTGTAAGAACTGATGAACTTCACTGTTCATCAGTAAAGCCAAAATCTTTCATTTGGGGGGGTTAATACACTAATCTTACATTCAACAACCCTTTGCACACCCACAACTTCCTCTTCCACTTGCCCAGTTTAACATTTTCTCCAAATTTATGAGAAAATCTTCTAAAAAACACAAAACAACCTGACAAGGAAAGTCAAGAAGAGATGGATAGTTATGCAAAACAGGAAAGCTTTTTTCACCAGTGTATCATCAATGTGTGGATGTTTGCACTCAGACAGCTGAAGGGACCCAGGTGACTCAGGATTGTGGGGTGTTTTTAAGGCTAATCCCACATCTGAAAGGTGTCATCATGAATCAATGGATGAAGAAACCCACTAATGTTTGAGACAGAAACATTCACAGGGGTTTGTGTCAAACAGCAGAATGGGACACACGCCCACAACAGAATGGTACTGGTAATGAAAATAAAATCAGTGTTTCTGCATTTTCAGGCTTTAGTCACATATTCTGTTAGCCCTCATGGCCTTTATTGATTCACTAATATGAACAAACTCTTGCATAAACCCTGATATTGATGTTTGGCTCTCATCCTGTATGTCTGCATGTTTAAATAGCTTTTCCGTTTTCCTGTTTGTGAGCCTTTGTCTTTTGGAAGAAGTCAGTTAGTGTTGCTCAATTTTACACCAAACAGCATAGCAAGGAAACATTAAATAATCTCAATTTCATTTGTCAGTCATGAATCCCTTTTTTGCTCAAATAATTAGGTGAATCTACTCAGCAAGTTAAGAAAAAGTCACATGAGAACATAATCTTTAGTAGGCACAGCATTAGCACTGAGACAGCCATGAGTTACTACAGGAGCAGAAGGAAAAGCCTTATGTCAATAAAAAAAGTCTGTTAAATTTGTTAGTTATCATCTGAATGCACTACTAATTGTACTCAGAAACAGATATATTTACATTTAGTCATTTTGAGTAAACAGTATATAACACTAAAAAAGATTAACATATAGTAGATTCTGTTTGCCAACCTATGAAACTTTGCATTTTTTCTAACATATTTGGAGCTGTGAATATTTAATGTTTATTTAATTAACAAAGGAAATCAAATAATTTAAAACTGTGCATCTTTTAAAAGTTTATTCAAAATGTAATCTGACAAATGCCATTTGTCATGACAAATACATTAGACATAATACCCGTCCTGTTGAAACCTCAACAGTTCTGTGTTCTCTAACTGGAACCAATTTTTGGAGAAAGTAATTTTGTTGACCAACATATTTATGGTTAACAGAAATATATTACATACTTGAAATACATATCACTAGATGTAATAAATGCATTTATAAGTTTGAATTTTTCAAATGAATTTCTGAGGGCCTAAAGGCTCCAGCATCTAAAGCCTTAACTGTTGTCTTGTCATGATTGACAAGGTCAGCAGCATTAGGATCACTTCTCTTCAGCAGATGGCCAGGACTGCCTTAGATCTCTTTCATTTATCAGAGTTGGGCAATTATGAGACAACCCTCTTCCTGACTCAATGCTGCTGATTATGCAATGTGCATGTTTTTATTCACATTCACATGAGGAACAAAGCTAAGTAGCACCAACACAACCACCAAAACGTATGGATACACAATCATATGAAAAAATGAAGACACTAAATTACATATAAAGTCGATTAGTAAGAATATTAATAATATTCTAATAATATTAATCTAGTAAAAACATTATCTGGTCTGCACACCTCCACCTCCATAATATTAACCCACTTCATCCATCTCTCTCCCTGAACTCTGCTTCTATTCTGGTCCACACAAACCAGCCAGCTGTACTCCTGTTCGGCTTTCTTCATTAAAGGAAGAATAACATTTTTATCCTGCACCTCTACAATCCATCCCTGGCTCTCGTTGACAGTATTTTATAAACACGTGGAGTGGACATTGACAACTTAGCTGTGCATTTCTGCCTACAAAAGACCAGTGTTGAGTAGTTGATTTGCATTTGTACGGCTCCCATCAACTTCTTTTAAATATAAAAGCCTCTCATAGGTCCAAAGGGCGGGAGATGGTGGGGCAACACCAAGACACAAAGTATGCATCAGTTATTGGCAGTTCCCTACTGTTTCCCTTCTGACAAAAAAACTGCTGAAAGCCCTCAATCTCAAAGCAGATGGCAGTGCTAAGTGTCAGGAACTGCCAAAATTCCCTCCTGTGTGTGGACACCATCATCCCTACCAGAACAGAGAGATGCTTCCCGAATAAAAAACCCTAGATCACCAGTGACCTAATGAACTGTTAAACAAGAAAAATAAGAGTCATTAGGGAACGAGAGAGGGAGTTATTGAGGCGTATAAAGAAGCAGCTCAAAGTCAAGATTAGAGTTTAAGATTAGCTTCTTCCTTGTTCTACAGGAAGAAGCTGGAGAACAAACTGCAGAGGAACAATATCAGAGATGTACGGTCAGGGATGAAGAAGATTATAGGTTACAAGCAAAAGAAGGATCAGATAGATGGAAGCTTTGACAGAGCTCGCTTCAACAAATTTGTCTTCAACTAATGCTGCTACTTCTTTTGCCTCCCCCTCCCACTTCTCTGTATCAAGAAGTCAGGTGCAGTTGGAGAGACTGAACCAGAACAAGGCTGCAGGTCTGGATGGTGTCAGCTAGGCCTGTCACAATAATAGATTTTGCTGGGCGATTAATTGTCTCAAAAAATTATTGCGATAAACGATAATATTGTTTGAAGAGCTTTTTACACTGATTTAATAGAAATTACATAATAATACATGCGATTTCCTGCCAAAGATAGATACAATTTACTTTCAGAAGAACACTTAACACTGGGACTGATACACAAAATAAATACAACAACCAAAAGCAAAAATGAAATAGATTCTGTCTCCATTAACAATAAATCTACTTGAATAGAAACTAAACATAAAGCCAAAGTAGAAATAAATACTGCAATCAACCAAAAGAGTTCAGATTATGAAGTCTGTATAGTATATTGGCCTTCAGTAATCATTAGATTTAAATAGAGAAGAATCCGACTGCCTGATGCAATAGTTCAAACTACTGGATTTTTTACCCCGAACGACAATCTTAGAACATTAGTTGTTCTAAATTGTCACTTGTGTTGTGTGTTACGGTCGATCGTCGTGGCCGCTCCGATCTAAATCAAAGATTTGCCCAGACTGGGAGTTTAATGCAGCCTGTTGAATGTGACCGGTAGCCAATCAGTGCGGATTCTCCTCCGTTCTTTCTGAGGGGAAACACGGAGGGAATCCCGAACAGCTGACACGGTGCAACCCGAAGTCCAGCAGACATTGGAGATGATATGTGGAAACATGAATGTTTATTCAACATTTCGTGCAAAGAAAATATAAATACTCGGGGAAGAGTTGGAGCGAAATTTCTACCAGAAAACCCGGTAACTTTTCAGCTGTTCTTCGTTAACGTGACATAAATAGGTTATAATGATTTTCATTCAGTCAGACTGACACTAGCCACATACATGCAGGTAGATTGTAGTAAGGAATTGATTAATGCCTGGTTTCAAAATTAGTGAACTGGAGTTATTATTTTGTGTCCATTGTTGGACACCACACGGTTCAATCGAACCGTTATACCGAGGATTTCCGACGGCTAATTTGTGGTCTCTCAGGTTTTGATAATGGGTCGACAATCGGCGACATAAGATGGTGCAGCACGCGCTGGGCATTACTCTGAGGAAATGAGGAAGGGAGGGTCAGTGGAGTTGAGCCTTTTCATTCAGTGTCATCAACAGTAAGAAAAAAAAGCAGGAAGAAACAATATAGACAATAA